CTACTAAAAATAATTTGAATATGTTTATCTTATGTTTACTCATAATTTTATCTTAATTTGCAGGTACTCTTTTCCAAGATTTCATTTGAGATATCAAGATTATGAATAATCAAACACTCTAGAGTTTTAAAGAATTGCTTTGTAATAATTTATCTTTACAAAATATTCTTTTGTAAATAAATATTTTGATACATAATCAATAAACACTGTATTAATTTTTTAATTGTGTTGCACTTGTATGATATTATTAATTTCTGTTAGCAATCAGTTTTTAGAAACTATTATAGTCAGCCAAACAGTTAAAAACCACCATTAGCTAAAACAACAACTGACACACACAATAATGAATGTGTTAAAATTATGTAATCTGAAAACTTGTTTTATAACAATTTTAGAGATTTTGAACACAAAAGAGACTAATAATACAAAATAAAAAAACTCCAATAGCAATAAAAGATAGTAGACTTTAGTGTTTGTCTACTTTCTTACCTGTAGACTAATAAAGAAGTTTGCTGTTGTTATACACATTTAAAAAAGTCTACATTACGGAAATCAGACTTGTTTAACACTTCATAACAATACCAAAGAAGCTTACAAATTAAACATAAGTTCATACACAACAACAGATATCTGAGCCATTTTCTGTGAAAAAAATGAAAATTTACAGAGTTAGCGATCATGTTTAAAAAAACCATAAAGTAGACTTAGCGATACGTCTACGATTATTAGCTAACTACATGATCAAATCAAAAGTATCATAATTTGATAAATATAACACATTTTTCTTTTAAAAATCACTCAAACATATTAGGATTACCTAATACACACTGTCAAACAAAAAAATCTTTAAAAAACTTAATGAATAATACACAAATTCAGTTTTAATATATTTTCAAACGTAGACTCCATAAGCAGTATGCGTCAATGTAAACGTTCATCTTTAAAAAACTTAATGAATAATACACAAATTCAGTTTTAATATATTTTCAAACGTAGACTCCATAAGCAGTATGCGTCAATGTAAACGTTCATTACAGTTTACACATGTAGACTCCATATGCAGTCTTCTCTTTAGGTTAGTTTTTGCAATTGAAAATTTTACGGGTTACTTTCTATATTTGAAAAAATAATTGTGATTTTATACATGTAGACTCTCATTTCAGTCTACATATAAAAAAGTTGTTTTTTTCAGTTGACCAAAAATCACCCAAGATTTGACTTACTAAAGTAGATTTTAAAAGTAGTCTACATGTTTGATTTTTTTTTACAGAGGTTAGTTTTGCAATTGACCAAGATTGACTTTTTATTAGTAAACGGAAACAAATGTTTACATACATGTTGACTTCATATGAAGTCTACCCACAAATACGGGGGGTTAGTTTTGCATTTGACCAAAATAAATAGTAGACTTCATGTGATGTCTATCGTTATTTTTTTTTTAAGTTCGTGTACTGTAATTAAAGTCTACACTTTTTTTTCTTTTTGGTCAACTTTTTAACATTTTATTCAAATACAAAACTAACCTATTCAACAGAGACAAATTCGGATCAAATACAAAACATACTTTTTTGTAAACTTCTCCGGAAGTCTACAGTCTGTAGATTTCCGACGAAGTTTACATTGAAAAGTCAAAAGTTTTGTCAAATGCAAAACTAACCTCTTTTACGTAGACTTCTTTGTAAGTCTACCTCATTTTTTTTGTTATCAAAGGTAATGATGTAGACTTCCAGGGAAGTCTAATTTGCATAAACAGTTATTCTAGTCAACTGCAAAACTAACATGTGCGTTGACAAGTAGACTACATCGTAAGCCTACACGTAAGCGTAGACATACGACACAGTCTACTATCGCGACACAGATCTGAAAAATGACGAAAACCATGTAAATAAGTACCTTTGTCTGGTGTAAAGCTCGTTTCCACCCTTTTCCACCGTCCAAGCTCCAAATATGAAGAAAGAGAAGCAGCTTAGACGACCAACAACAGAGTACACTCAAAATAATGAAGTTATGCTTATGAAAATAAAAGTTATGAGAGTTTTTTAGATGAAAATAGAGAGGAAATGAAAGGAAGTCAAGATTTGTTGGTTTAAAATGAGAAAAAAAAGTGGTTGAAAATTGAATTTGAGAGGTTTAAATAGCTTAAAATGGTGTTTCATGGTGGTTGAAAATTGATGACGATGGCATTGTTATAAATAAGAAGAAAAGTTTAAGGTGTAATTTTTTTTGTAATTTTTGAAATAATTAAAAAACAAATAATAATGGAATTTCTGTAAATATTTCAAAAACATAAAGATGGTTTGGAAATTTCATGGATGAATACTATTGACAAAAAAATGGGTTGGTTTTGCAATTGACTTCAATTTTTGGGTTGGTTTTGATCAACTCTCATAAAACAATTCAAATAACCTTTACAAAACCTATAATGTTGTGGTGTTTTTGAAGCAAAAGTTTAAGTTTTGGAATCTGAAATGCTTTCTGGATAATTGTGTCATAAAATTAGAAAAAAACTATGCAAAATATCTAAACCTAATTAATTTATACTACTATTTCCGAAGTAATTTTGCGCATCGAACTCTTACGTTAAAAATTAAAGTGGTTAATATCGATATTACCCTTAACGAATAATTATATATAATTTTATATGATTATAAAATTATATTAATAATATTAGATTATATGTTATATTGGATAACTATTATAATTAATAAAATAAAATTATCAATATATATATACATATATATATATATATATATATTCTTTAAATGAAAATATTATTCCTACATATACTCGATTGTTATCCGAAAATATTAAAAACTAAAATTAATATATAAGTAGGTGGATAAAAAATAATTAAGTAAAATAAAAATATTTGTTTAAATTTAAGTAGTGATATTTGCAAGTGATTTTCACACTAATTTTAACTCTAATGTTAAAAAATTAGAGTGTTTTTATTAGATAATAGTTTATGAATTAATATATAAATTGGCCAAAAATTAAATTTATATTTCAATTAAAAACCATAATTCCTACATAATGTATTTATCAGAAAAAGAATATTTTAATCATAGAAAACTAAAATTAAGAAATAAAAGATGCATGTATACATAATAATGGAGTAAAAAATCAAATTTTGTAAACTTTAATAATAAGTGCAATAATAACGATTTGTAACACGCTTATGCTCGCATCTGTGGGCAAAAAACCTAATTCTTAAACTATCCAGACATACCGGATCATATAATAATTTTATTGAATATTCAGCCGGAAAATGCTAATATACCTAAACCAAAAAAACAAAAATAAAATAATAAATTAATAAATAGGAAAGTTTTGATGAAATGGAGCCTGCCTATGCAATTCATCGCCTAAAATGGAAGAAATAACCAATTATTTTGTGACACCACTTGCAGATCTGCATTGTCAACTTTGTATTTCTTAGGGAGATGGTTTATCTTTCAATATCTTGATGGTGAACTGTATGATATATCTAGCAGCAAAATATACACGGAAAATATGAGTAAAATACATAAGAGACTCTGTTACACGGGAAAGCAACTGACATATATGTGATTATTCACATAAGCAAGAGTGTTTGATGAACAAATAGAATGATATTAGCCTAACTTGTAACTTCCTATAAACCTATCATATTTTGTTACTAATATTACTGGTTTTGTTACTAATATATGTGCCCATGTCTCTCTCCACTTTCACAAAGTAACAACAAAGACGAGCTTTTCCTTTGCGTATGTCTTTACAAATGTCTCTGTGTTTTCATTTTCGTATGACGTCATCAAAGTCATTCAATTTGATGCATGATCCTCACTTGCAAGTTGCAACCCTAATTTACCCCCCCCCCCCTTTTCGGCTTTTCTTTTGTATCTGCTCATTTATATATTAATATACTTGAATATAGGTCACACTATGGTGTACACTTTTTTATTGTAATAATGAATTTAATACAGACGTGCACACATGCATACCTTATATGAAGATATCTTGACATCACTGGCCACATTGTGTATGGATTATATAAAGCTTTATAAGGGGCAGTCGAGTTCCGTTGAAATAAAGCATATAACATATTAGTATGTTGGTTTATGTGGTTGTAAAGAGGCTAATTGCAGATACGAAATGTGGAGTAGCAGGTAATAAGGATAACTAAAGAAAAAATTACTTATATTCGAATGTTATTAATTTCCTTGCGATATATTGTTGCCTTCAGATAATGTTTTTTCCTCTTTTTTTTTGTATACGTTTTCTTATAATTGAAGTGATCTTCTATTAATAATTGATTTCCTAAGATGTATCAGTGTTAGTTAGTATATATATTTCAAGTACACTGTAAACGTTTACGAAAACCGAATGTAAGACGACGACTAGTGTAAAGATAATACACTTTTCACGGCTGTCTAGCAATGTTTTTAAACCAGACCGTATACTGAACCGACATGATCACTGGATTATTGGATCTACTGGATTATTGGATCGACTGTGAACCATGGTTTATACATTAACGATTTTTAAGATCCTCCTATATATTAAAAGAGAAGTCACTTTGACAAGTGTCACTCACACAGCCCTTCTCAGAAAAATTCTAGCGATTCTATTGGTTGATTTTTTAGAATTTATTTTTTGATTTATTTTTTGTTCGGCGTGCAAATGATTAGAGAATCGTATCTCAAAATTAATGTTAGGTTATTTACTTGCCTTACATTATATTTGATAACTTGCGAAAGAAGTTGGAAATTAAATGCCAAATCAAAAGTTGGAAATTACATTATATTTTCGAAAACTTGCGAAAGAAGTTGATGTTAGGTTATTTACTTGCCTTACATTATATTTGATAACTTGCGAAAGAAGTTAGAAATTAAATGCCAATCAAAAGTTGGAAATTACATTATATTTTCGAAAACTTGCGAAAGAAGTTGGAAATTAAATGCCAAATATGTCAATCTCATACCATTAGAAAAGATTGACAATATATATACGATGTCCTAATGTCTGTAGATCGAACGCAACGCCTCCTCGTACACGAAGAAGCTTCTTCCACTCAAAACCTCACCGGAAAGACACGACTCGCTTCTCTAGACATCTTCCGTGGCCTCACTGTCGCTGTACCTTATCTTCTCTCTCTACTCCTCTAAATTTTCAAACTTTAAAACCTTTTATTTTTTTTCTCATTACAGTTGATGATCCTCGTGGATGACGCCGGAGGAGATTGGCCTGTGATAGCTCACGCTCCTTGGGAAGGCTGCAACTTGGCGGACTTCGTCATGCCTTTCTTCTTGTTCATCGTTGGCGTCTCCATCGCTCTTTCCTTCAAGGTTTGAAACCTCTCTCTCTCTTTTTTATTTGTTCAGTTTCGTACTCTGATGGCGGCTCAAAACATACACAAAAACGTTTAATGTTTCAGAGGGTTTCGAACAAGTTTGATTCTTGTAAGAAAGTGGGGTTTAGGACATGCAAGCTTCTCTTCTGGGGTCTTTTATTACAAGGTAATGCTGTTCTTTGTCATGTAACTTTGTAGGCCTCAAAACATTATAATATTCATGTTTGTTCAAGAAATCGCTAGGTGACAATTAGGCGTTTTATAGAGGATTATTGATTATACAGCCGCCTACACCGATTTGTTGAAGTCATATACCGATTTGCCGTCTAGATGGACTTTTAAATAATGTCTTATACGGACGTATAGATTATACGGACGTCTAGACTGACTTTTTTAATTTTTATACGAATTTTTTTAAAATGTGTACTGCTTCTTTTGATGTGTAGGTGGTTTTTCTCATGCTCCTGATGAATTAACCTATGGGGTTGATGTCACTATGATGAGGTTTTGTGGGATTCTCCAGGTCTTTGTCTCAAACTGCTCAAGATTCATCTTTGTGTATATGATATACTCACGGTCTTAAAAGGTTTCATGTTTGTCTGATTTTTTGTTTGTTTGTAGAGAATAGCTTTATCCTACTTGGTAGTAGCATTGGTGGAGATTTTCACAAAGGACTCACATGAGGAGAATCTGACTACGGGAAGATTCTCAATATTCAAGTCATATTATTGGCATTGGTAAACACTACATTTGATCTAATTTAGAATAGAAGTTAATGAAAAGAGTTTCAGATTATTTTTCTTTTACATTCATAGGATAGTGGGTGGATCAGTTCTTGTGATTTATCTTGCCACACTCTATGGAACTTATGTTCCTGATTGGGAGTTTGTTGTCTATGATAAAGATAGCATTCTATATGGGAAAGTCCAATCCGTAAGTCTCGAATTATGACCCTTAACTAAGTGTTGTGATCAGATGACGTAAGAAACTTTGTTGATAGGTATCATGTGGGGTGAGAGGGGAGCTAAACCCTCCTTGCAATGCTGTTGGATATGTTGATAGACAAGTTCTAGGATCAATCATATGTATCACCATCCTGCTTGGAGAAGATCCAAGGTACAATACTCAAATGATCTCTAAACACAATCTTCTAATGTGTTTCATTATGAGACTTAGGCTTGCACTGAGCATTCCCCTTACGAGGGAACTTTGCGTCAAGATGCACCGTCATGGTGTCATGCTCCGTTTGAGCCTGAAGGAGTCTTAAGGTCTAATCTTATCACTCATCATCATCATCCTCTAATGAGAAGTTTATAACACTTAGATAACTTATTTGTTGCAGCTCTATATCTGCTATTCTTTCTACAATCATAGGTGTCCATTTTGGACATATCATCCTACACTTTAAGGTTATAAAACATAAGCCACATGCTCCTATGTACTTCTTAATATCATTATTTCAACATTACCAAAATTTTCAGGGGCATTCAGCTCGGTTGAAACATTGGATCTCCACCGGTCTAGCTCTCCTCGCTCTCGGACTAACTCTACATTTCACCCACTGTGAGTAAACACATTGGTTTTAATCCAACTCACGAACAGTTGTGCTCTTACATATATTAAAACTTTAAAATGTTTGCAGTGATGCCTTTGAACAAACAACTATATAGTTTCAGCTACACATGCGTAACCTCCGGTGCAGCCGCGCTTGTCTTCTCCGCCTTGTATTCTCTGGTGATTCTTCTTCCACTACACTGATAAACATTAACAAAACAGCTTCATTGTTTCTTTCTTTATTTACCGGGTTTGCAGGTGGATATAATGGAGTGGAAACACATGTTTCTGCCTCTAAAATGGATAGGAATGAATGCAATGCTGGTGTACGTGATGGGAGCTGAAGGAATTTTAGCTGGTTTTTTCAACGGTTGGTACTATCGACACCCGCGCAATACACTGGTAAAGTTCTTATATGAGTCTTTTTGTTCTCTTAATGATGTAGTTGAAAGTTTAGTAACAAGTGTTGTTGTTATGGTGATTGTGTTTAGATAAATTGGATTAAAGAGCATGTTTTTGTCCAAGTTTGGCATTCAAGAAGAGTTGGTGTTCTAATGTATGTTATTTTCGCGGAAATTCTCTTCTGGGGTTTGGTTACTGGTGTTTGCCACAGGTTCAAGATCTACTGGAAACTATAAGCAGACCGTGAAATATAACTCAATGAGAAGCTGTAAGGATATAAGTGAGATACTTTGTGTATATATCCGAATGGTGTAAACAAAACTCAAATTCGCAATAACTTTGTCTATATAGATCTTCGCGTAACTCTCTTTGTAATGCATATTCTATGTTGATGATGTGTAACTTGCAACGTTTAAGGGTAGAGGTAGGTAGGGTTGGGATTTTGAACCGAGCCGAATTTTTGGTTAGGAGTTTGGTTCAGTTCAGTAGGTTTTTTAAAGAATTTGTTGGTTCGACAATCGGTTATTTTGGTTTTCTTTTGGAAAACAAAAAATTGTAACTAAACCATAGCAAAAATCCGAACTGAACTAACCAAATTTTAAAGCAAATTAACTAAACTTATCCAAATTTACAGATACAATAAATTTTAGAAATTATTTTATATCTATCACAGAAATTTATCCGGTCTTAGGGCTTACAAACTAAAATATTTTTTTGCAGGTGTCTAATGGATTTGCTACACCTTTATCGAGATTTTGTACTTCATAAATTTATATTATTTATGGATAATAATTTTAATTTTATTTTGGGAGCTTATTTTGAAATTTATTATATTTTCTTTTAATATGTGTACATAAATAATTATGAAAATTAAACATAGTAGGTTATTCACCTAAAAATAAAAATTACAACATATATACAATACAATTCTAATTACAAAGGATAATATAAAATCTGTTACTTCTAAAACTGTACACTATTTATAAGAAGTCTTAGCAAATCGATTAGATGACAAATGAAAATATTTTCGTAAAACATACTAATTATTTTGAGACTTTGCAATTATACATACACACAATAACTATTCGCACCATGTACGTTATTTTATACCCTCTCATACAATATCAAATATTGAGTACCGGCTTTTCTCATGGTGTAGGGTTTCTCCAAAACATGGTAGTATGATGATTTACAGTCCGTCACTTCTAAACCGATATACTATTATAATAATTTTTTGAACATACTTATGTCCGCACAGGGTGCGGGCCGGTCACCTAGTATAAATTAATAACTATTAAAAATATAAGAGAAAATTCATATTTAAAAAAAAAATATTTAAACTTAGTCTCTTTATTTTTAGTTTGTATTTTACTTAAAATATTTTAAAATTATTTAAGTATTTAATATTTTTTAGTTAGAACATATAATAAAGAACAACAAGACTTAGACCTCATAAGTTTTAGATATTAATATAACTTAAAAAATTAAATTTTTATCAAAATAAACTAAAAATAAACATTGAAATTATAATAGATTTTCGTTAACAATAATAAATTAATACCAGATCTCATTAAATAATTTGTTTATCATCATCAAAAAAGTAATTTATTTGATATTATATATTATTTTTAAAAATTGAATACGAACAAGAAATTTGATTCACAACAAAAAATTATCTATATAGAAACATATAAAATAAAATAAAACCAAAATATATGTATGTGAAAAGAATAAAAACACTACTTATATTATATAAATTAGAACATAGAAATCTAAAACAAATGTTATTTACAATAAACAAAATCAGAACAATTTAAAAATAAAGTTGAAGGAGATATAGAGTATATATAACCGTAAACAAAACGATAATTTCACAATAAAAATAAGAAAAAATTAAAAGTAAAAACAAACTTCTTATTTTAGAATACATAATATATTTATTAAAGTAATTAAAAAACTAAGAAAAAAATTAAATAAAAATGACGCACCGGTTCACCAGGGGTTCAACCAATAAACGGATTGCCGGGTTTAAAGAATTTTAACTAGTTTTATCAAATTTTTAATTAACATATATTTTTAAAAATTCAAACTGGATAATTTAACGGATCATCGGGTTTATCGGTTCAACCACGGATACGGGTCGGACGTGAAAACACTGCTGTCTAATAATTAAGGGTAAGCCTGCTTCTGTTTACAAAGTATTTTGTAATTGTACGCAAACATTTTAATCTTGTTATATACGTATCATCATTATTTTTTGCAAAACATAACCAATATAAAAAAAAATTGTGAAAACAACTAGCTATATAAGAAACG